GCCAGCGTAAGTCGCATTCCAGGTCGCGCAGACCGAGATTTTCATCCCATCGCGTCGTACCATGCGACTCTCATCTCAAGTCGATTCTCCATACTGATTCGGTGTTCTTGGTGTGTCGCAGGTGTTTCAACTGTCAAAAGAATGCCGTGGTCTGTGAGGGCTATCCCCCGAAAGAGATTTGGAAGAGTGGGAGACAGAAGATGGCGGACGGTACGTATTGATTAGGATTTGGACTTGGACCGGGCGCAAACAAAGGATCACCCACTGACTGACCTCGCACATCCACAGCCGTCCTCACCCACTCCCTGGCAGCTGTGCCACGCAACCTCCCCCTCCTCATCGACGGAATCGAAACCGATATCGATCGCCGTTTCCTCGACCATTTCGTTTACGGTTTCAGCCGCGTCTTGACCCTCGTTAATGATGACTCCAACCCTTTCAAGGAGATCCTTCTGCCCATGGCAACCCAACATCGCGGGTTGATGCACTCGCTCATGTGTTTGTCGGGATCGCATCTATCGGGCCTCGACCCAGAGCCGAAGCTGAAGGAGCGCAAATACTTCCACTTCCACCGAGCCATCCAGGACTTGAAGGACAACATCACAGCATCCTCAGCACAGAACGGGGATCAAGACGAGCAGCTTCTAGTGGAGGACCCTATCATCGCCTCGACTATCGCCCTCAGTCTGAATACAATCTGCGAAGGGGAGACGAATGGCGAATATCGACCGCACATGGATGCCGCCAGGTATCTCCTTGTGTCGCAACAGCCTCGGAATGAAAAGTTCCGCCAGTTTATCGTCGAGTTCTTCCAGTATCATGACATCTCCAATGCTCTCACTTCCTTGGACCGCCGACCCGCCCTGAACTCCGGAGGAATGCATCTTCCCGACTTTGTACCGGGCGCCCAGGCTGGCATGTTCTTGGGTGTTTTTGATGGTTTATTCAACTATATCTCGGAGATCACCCAACTACGGGATCGCATTCGGCAACGATTCAACGAAGGATATGAGCCGGCCGTGGACTATCAAACTCTGAGTGAGGCAGTTCAGGTTGATACGGCCATTCGGACCTGGCAGACTTCGCACGAGGAGGACACCCCGAACTTCTTCCTGGCCCAACTGTACAGACAGTCTACTTGGGTCTACCTCTACCGCACAATTCGCCCCTCGCGTCCAAGCGAGAAAATCGCCCAAGTTGTTGACGATGGCCTGTCCTGGTTGGATCGCTTGCCGCAAGATGCCGGTGCTTACAGCATTGTCCTTATGCCACTCTTCTTGCTTGGATGCTCTGCATTCGTGGCGGAGCAACGTGAACGTATCCAAAAAGGATTCGAGACCCTCAAGTCTTACTCCAATCTGCGTAACATCGAACCTGCTTTCAAGGTTGTCACGCAGGTCTGGGAGATTATGGACACGAAAATCGAGGACAGCTGGGATTGGGAGAAGATCATCCATGACATGAATATGGACTTCCTCATTACCTAGGCTGCTCTTCCCATCCCTCTTTACTTTCTCTTACCTACCTTTTGATTTGATACCCTTTCTTCACTTCTCTTCACTTCACTTTTCTCTTGACTACTTGTTTTTGAATGTCTCACATTCCACATGATGATCTTTCCTTTGGGGAGACTGTACTATGTTATGTGGCGTTTTGTTTTGTTTTTTGTTGCTTTGGGTCCGCATCTGCATTCGGTGGGGGATTTGGCCTGTGCATTTCGTGTGTGTTTCATGCTAGTCGGCGAGTACATACCTTCTGTATGTGGCTGTCTCACAAACCCCGCTGTAAGGGGGTTTGACCGGGGGTTTGGGGAAAGGGCGGGGATCGAGTGTCTACTGACGTCGATCACATGCCCTTTCGGGACAGTCCCATTTATTACAACTGTACTCCCTCTTTGCTGTTCTGCACACGACACGCACAAATTTCAGAGCCTAAAAGTCGAGGTGGTGTTTTTATTTCTTTCTTTGGCGGGCTGGTACTCACATGATCAGCGGGGTACATTACCGATGACGACAGGGCGTTTGCCATTTGATTTATTTGGACGGCGAGCTATTGGATCTCCTACTCCTGAACTGGCCAATGCTGTATATATTTATGATGGCTTTGTATTTACTCTTAACTTCTGCTCATGTGAAAGTGAAATATGACGTGTATAACAAGCAAAAGTACTCCTCTGAAAGTGAATAAGTTTTAAGAGCGAATGAGGTCGGGTCTATTGTAATTCAAGTTGCAGGCCGGGGATGAGATCAGTCAACAACCTTCAGGTTGGAACTTAAAGAACCTTGGAATGTCAAGATGACCCAGGCAAGTGACGCCCACTAGCAGCTGTACCTAGGTACTACTAGCTACAGTTGATCAATCTATTAATATTAGTTTGCCAAATTCCGAGTCACCAACAGTACTTGCAGCCATTTCCGATCACAAGCTAACTTGCAAGCAGGAAAGGTGATGTCGTCGAAAGACCGACAATCCAGTCTAGGAGGGACTACTGCGAGTATCTCGTATATTCTAAACTTGGACGGGATCTTCGCAATGCCACCCTTTCAGCCCGATATAGAATGATATTGAGCCCGAGGAAGCATCTTATTATGGCTACATCATATGTAGGCTTGCGTCTAGAGGGGCCTTCATGGCCACTTGTCAGAATATTGTTCGGTTCCGCTGGCAGTCTATAGCTGCACGTAGGATCCTTCTCTTCGTCGGTTACAGGAATGATTTTCTAAGGCCTGGAAATCTTATACGAACTCACTACCCTACCTTCACGTTGGGCTGGTACCACTGAGTCCGGGTTTCTAGGCAGTTTTGGGCTAAACATCCCAGTCCCGTTAGCGCATACCTAGCCAGCAGGATTTCACAATGTAGTACCCAGTTGAGCCATTGTTGCAGCAGCCGCGGGTGAAAAGCCAGCCTTGTAATGGTCTGAAACAGCCATGCTAATAAGATTCTGAACATTGCAGGACAGAGAGGAATTCCGATGTCGGAGGTTCTGTAAAGGTATCTTTGTACCTCAGGCCACATCTAGGTTGAAGAAGTGCAGGAAGTTTCTCTAATTCAAGATGATTCTAGAATATCGTCCCTGTGACTACCTAGGTACATACCGGGATTCGATATAAAAGCAATTCTACGATTACGCCATACAGTGACGTGCATTCTCCTGCGTATTCTAATTTTGCGATTGTATTAGTACTCAGCACTTGCAGCAAGCTAATTCCTTCTCCGCTGATCCGACTTATCTTGCTGTGGAGAACCGGGTGCTCGTTCTTCTCGGGGGGTTTTCTCGCGCTAAAGGCGTCATTCATAAAGACGATCAATGGAGATCGCATGGGGATGTTCCGGCCCCATCCCATCCGCATCATCTGCAGGAACAGGGGGAAATGAGCGGTGGGGTGATAAGCATAATGCTTTTTCTGTAGATCTTAATTAGGGGAATTTCTGTCAATGAGATCTTAGCATTTACGATTGTCGTTGAGATGCCTTTTATCGGGTTGACCCCTGCGTAGGGCTAAAATTCAGATCCATTTTAAAACACTTGTGTCGTTACAACTGGTTCAAGTTGTACTAGAAGTTTCCCCCGACTTTTCTTGTGACCTGACTTACAGGTCTGCTAAGATAGGTCTACTTTAGCTGGTTCCCGTGACATCTATTGCTCCCATGATTCCTTTTGATGTAACTGTATGATTGAGGACCTTGGTTCTGAATGTTGATGTGAATGTGAATGTGAATGTGATCAAATGCGATTCAATGACGAACTTGAAGGATCTTCGGCCCTCCACCGGCCTGATAATATCAGTGTTTCTCATTTGAAGGTAGATAATGGGTACTTTCATATTCGTAAATTGAAAGAGAGACTGTAGCCAGCTTCAAGTCTAAATAGTGCATGGCAACATGGTCGTACTCTCGCAACCATAACGGAAGTTTTGGTAACAAAGCGAAAAAGGTATCCAACTTGAATTCAATGATCTTGTGTGTAATACTAATAGTAGTAGTGAAACATAATTTGCCGAGTTAGTATATTTCTGTAACTGCCCAGGTGTGCCTACCTAGGTACCTAACCTTGGTTATTACTGTGGTCAGTGTGTGTGCACATGGGCAAGCGCTCGCACGGCGCATCCTTCTGTCCACTACTAATATTTGCGTTTTGTCATCACCACCTCATACTCTTGCATGTTCTTGTTTGCTATTTCTGTTCTACTATGCTTGCCTTTTTTTTTTTCTCCGCTGGCGCCTTCTCTCTCTCTCCGCTTTCGCTATTCGACTTTTGCCCCCCAAGTACTCGAAGTCTTTATCAGAGGCGAAGGGTAGCATCATTTTGTTTCTAAGTCTAGGTACCAGCACATAGACCCTAACGGTCTAGAGGAACATTGGTTTGGAAAACCCATCTGTGCAATAAGAGAACCTTAGAAGCTAGATCAGGGCTAACCTTTTTGTACCAACGACTAGCTCCCTTTTCCAAGTACTAGTATAAACTAACCTTGGAACCAAACGCACATTTAACCAACACTTCTACTATTGGACGTGGTGACATTGAGCCAAGCTAAAGATTAGTCTGCAGGTCTTGCCCAGTGCGATGTAAGAGAGAATTAACATCGGAAAAGAGCTACAGGACGTCAAAAGCCATGTTTCCATGCACATGGATACGCATCGGGTCATGCTTGAAGCTGGTACTAATAGGTATAGTGATGTGCTGCATTGAGCCGTTATTGAGTCAGCTTCGCCGATACGACTTAACAATAATTATATCATAGAAGTATCTATTGTATTACTGAAACCTTGCCAGTAACTCAATTTCACAACCGAGGGGGAAGAGGGCCATGTCCACACCCGCGTGGACTTTCCTAGAGCGGTAATGCGAAACCAGATCATGGCCAGTGGGGTACTGCCGAATTCAACAGCCAAATGCGAAACCCAAGCCTGATAATCAAAAAATCCTCTGCTATCTCTTCCTTAACATATTTCAGGAGTTGCTCAGATTTAGTATCGGAATCTTCTCTCTCGAAATCATGATGTTTGACCCCGACACTCTGTCCGCCTTGTCGGCGGATAAAGTCGACAAGTATCTTCGGCACATTGAACTGCCGCACAGATACTGGCCTCAGAATAGCCCGACTTTGAATAGTGATCTTCTATCTGCTCTCCAAGCATATCATCTTTCAACAATTCCTTATGAAAATTTGGCTTTGCATTATGCAAAAGATGTTTATATTTCACTTGACGTGAATGTCATATACCAGAAGTTTGTCGACAAAAAGCGTGGCGGATACTGTATGGAGAATAACATCTTCTTTTATCATCTTCTACGATTCTTCGGGTTTAAGGTGTATTTGACAGGAGCTCGACTTCATCGAACAGGAGATGGCCAGCCGGCGGGATGGACGGGCTGGTGAGTAGCACTCAGTCCCAGAAAAAGAAAGCATTTTTAACTTAATGATTATCCGCGAACAGGGAACATTCTGTGAATATTGTAACACTTTCCGACCAGATCCAGTATCTAGCCGATGTTGGATATGGTGGGAATGGTCCCAAAGTCCCTGTGCCATTGATCTCGGGCTCGGTAGTGCATAACCTGGGTACCCAGGATTTGCGACTGGTCCGTGGGACAACGATGGTATTATCCGATGGACAACAAGGAAGATGGATCTATCAATTTCGAAATGCCGAAGATCAAGCGTGGGCAGTTGGATATAGCTTCACTGATATTGAGTTTACGCTGAAGGACTTTGAGGTCATGAATTTCTTTACGAGCCGAAGTCCGGATTCATTCCTGACAACAAAGATACTCGTGGTGAAATTTCTCCAGGAAGATGGAATTATTACTGGTAAAGTCATACTTGATCAAGAGCAGGTGAAGAAGAATACGGGTGGAAAGAACGTGCTTCTCCAGACATGTCAGACTGAGAAAGAGAGGGTTCAAATTTTGGAAAATTTATTTCAGCTGAAGCTCACGGAAGAGGAGAAGATTGGAATTAGAGGAAGAATATCATCACTGAAGGTAGAAGTTTGAAGATTAGACCAAACCGCTTGATGTCATTGAATAACATCAACAGCCCACGGGAATTGGCTTATGATCCACTGATGTATACTAGTAAGGTAAAAAAGTAAGTCATTTGATGAGGATAAGTATATTGAGAAGTAAAAATCTCTTTTTATATATCACAGACACCTGGTTACTTCTCACTTTCTCTTCCAAGTATTGATATGCCTCGGGGGTTATTTTCCCGAAAGCCGCGAGACTGGATAGACATATGCTCGCGGCAGTAACAGGTATCTTGTGAGCATATAATATTTTAGCATTAATGAAAGAATACGAATAGGCCATGACCAGCATGGATATTGTATACATTGAAGAGAGAAAAGGAACACAGAAATTCGGATATGTAGCAGGCGTGTGTGTTGCAGAACGTATCCGGGTAGCCGACGGGCGTATCAGAGCAAACCCCGCGCGGAGTTACCCCGACTGCCCCCGCGGCAATGATGTCCCGAGCTTCACCCCACGCTTTCAATCCCCCCTCTTGAGGTTGTCATTTTTTCATCCCAACTTCTTCAACTCTCTGAATAGCCTGCTCAATCATCAACCAACATGCCATTCAACACTCCAGTCCAATCAGCCCTGAAGGGTCCCTCAGCCGCTTTCGGGTTCTGGCTCACGTAAGTACCAATCTTCACCATCATGCATGAATAAAAAGTCTCGCTTGACCCCAGACTGACCCTTTGCTTCGGATACAGGCTTCCTAGCGCTGGTCTCGCTAAGACTATTATCCACGGCGCCTCAGGATCTTCTGCCAAGTTCAGTTGGATTCTGGTTGATGCCGAGCACGGCCTTATCTCCGATAACCACTACTATGAGGTTAGTCCTCGAGCAAAGCCAAAATTTGCCAGCGAAACAACGCAAGGTATAGTCTAGTAGCTGACAGAGACGCAGCTTAACAACGCAATCGGCTCCGAAGGCGTCAGCCCCATTATTCGAGTTCCCTGCGCCGAGGAATGGATGATCAAGCGTGCTCTCGACGCTGGTGCCCACGGTGTAATGACACCCATGTGCCACACAGAGGTATGTGCCCCCGAGCTAGAACAGTCGCTCCCGATTCCTCGCCATTATCAATCGAAGGAACCCGAAAGCTCACCTACATTTCTTTCCCAACCAGGCCGATGCTATTAATATCGCTAAGTGGACCCGGTACCCACCCTTTGGTACTCGTGGCTATGGACCGATGTTTGCGCCTCACTCCTTCCCTGGAGTTGACCCCGGTGCTGACCATGACGATGGTGCAAATGACGGCCTGACCACTTTCGTGCAAATCGAGTCTCGCTCAGGCGTTTCAGAGGTCGAGAAAATCGCGGCAGTGGACGGAATTGATGTGCTTCTCATTGGGCCCTTCGATTTGGCCAGGCAGATGGGTGTTACTCGTTGCGGCGAGGAGCACGAGGCTGCCATCCAGCGGATTAAGAAAGCTGCCCACGCGGCTGGCAAGAAGGCTGCTATTTTCTGTACGTTCCAATCGATCCAATGCTTGGGGATTTGAAAGTACTAACAATATCTCCTAGGCACTGGTGGTGAGGATGCCCGCGTGCGCATCCAACAAGGATTCGATATGGTCTCTGTCAACACAGATGTTGGTGTTATTCGGTCGGCCATGATTAATGAGCTCAAGGTTGCCAATGGAGAGACCGTTCAGAGTGGACCTGGGGGTTATTAAATAATACGATTATTCAGTGACGGTTGAATAGAACAATACACATTGTACATAAAGCAACTTTACATAAAACTACTAATACTGAACCTGAATACGTGTAACAGTAAATCTTTAAACCACTGCGGATATTAAAGTTTATCTGAGCATCAATCTCCCTGGTCTTTTAGATGTCTACCCCGTACCTACCATAAAACTCCAGCGATCGCCTAGCCGGATGAAGGGAGCCTGGGATCTAGAACTGCCCGATTAGGCAAAAGCGCCTCCTCGCTTCTAGGTAAGGTATCAACGTCTGATTATTAAGCCGGGATACCTAGGTATCACTGGCCGGGTGGGCTTATTTTTTGTGGAAATGTGGATCTCATCCTATCGCATGGGCCTCGACAACCTTACCTTCATGTGGTAGCGCAAGGTCGTGAGCTGCATGAAGGTCGAACTGAAAAATTTTAGGCGATGTCTTGGTTTGGGTGTGGATCTATCCAGATCCCGTCATTCTGCCATCATCCAACATCAAGCATAGACTGCCTACTCTTGCACATCACTCGATCTCCCGAGAGCAAGAATCAGAGGCAATGCAGCCGAGACATTGGAATAGGGGTCTCTAAAGATACATTGATGTGTGGATGATCCTGGTCTCTAACGGCAGCCCCCACATAGCTGTTTTTTCAAGACCATCTCACCACGAGAACCAGGTCGGACATTAACAATGGAGGAGGACGATATTGTTTCAGAACTTAATGTTCCGAAAGATGCGACCTTTGATGCTGGTCTTCTGGACGAGGTCTACAACCTTTCGTTGCGGGCTGTCAATCCCGTCGACGTAAATATCAAGAATCTCTCACTCGACATCGACACATCTTCCCCAATATGGGGAACATCACCCGCTGAAATTTGGCAGCGCCTCCGTGGCCACAGGATCGAAGGCAATTCCAAAAATGTTCTTCAGGGGGTGAGTGCGACCATGTCAAGTGGCAGTTTGACAGCCATTATTGGAAGTAGTGGATCGGGCAAAACATCTCTCCTCAACTTAATGGCTGGCCGTATGTCCTTGTCCAGGGCAGATATGTCGGGAACGACCACTTTCAACGGCAACACGAGTATTGAAAGCGTTCGCAGCGCCTATGTCATGCAAGAAGATGTCTTGATACCCACCCTGACAGTTCGGGAGACTTTGCAATACTCGGCTGATCTTCGCTTACCACCGCCAACCACCAAAGAAGAGCGTCGCGCTATTGTGGAGCAGGTTATTCTTGAGCTGGGGCTGAAAGAATGTGCCAATACAAGAATCGGAACAACAGCCCACAAGGGATGCAGTGGCGGAGAAAAGCGACGGACCAGTATTGGAGTACAAATACTTGCAAACCCATCTGTTTTATTTTGCGACGAACCGACGACGGGTCTCGATGCGACCAGTGCTTTCCAGATTATTCGGACATTAAAGCGACTGGCACACGATGGGAGAACGGTTATTGTCTCTATCCACGCACCTCGTTCGGAAATCTGGAGTCTTTTCGACAACGTGATCCTTTTGGCGCGAGGTTCTCCGCTGTACAGCGGGCCTGTGGCAGATTCGGTGTCTCATTTCGAGCAGTGTGGTTACGTTCTTCCTCCCTTTGTGAACCCTGCCGAATACCTCATCGATTTGGCTGCTGTCGATAATCGAAGTGAAGCCCAGGAAACTGCGTCACATGCTAGGGTTGATCATTTACGAGAGACATGGCGATCTCATTTTTTACAATTGTCGAGCGCTGAGAATCCCGAGAAAGAAGTCATTGAAATGCCATCACCACCGGGCGCAGTCGATACGGGAGGCATGAAAACAGTATCATTTCGCCGACAGTTGCGCGTGCTTACATCGCGCACTTACACGACTACCATTCGAGACCCAATGGGTGTTGCTGGGAGCTTGCTTGAGGCTGTTGGCATGGCTGTCATCTGTGGTTGGATATTCTTGCAGCTTGGCGAAGATCTTGCGGGAATCCGCTCACGGCAGGGTAGCCTTTACACTGCTTCCAGCCTGAACGGCTATCTAATTCTCTTGTATGAGACTTACCGGCTGACAATCGACATTCGTCTTTTCGATCGAGAGCGCAACGAAGGAGTCGTTGGGGTTCCGGCATTTTTGCTGAGTCGCAGGCTTGCACGGTTTCCCCTAGAAGATTTACCTGTGCCACTTCTCTTCTCCATAATTTTCTATTTCATGGTCGGATATCGCCTGGAAGTGGCCCAATTCTTCATCTTCTTCGCCTTGGCGCTTCTTACGCATTACATTGCTGTGACATTTGCTGCCGTGTCGATAGGCATCGCAAGGAGCTTCCCAGGAGCTAGTCTGGTGGGTAATCTATCATTTACTCTGCAATCCTTTGCCTGTGGATACTTTGTGCAGTCGCAGCAGATTCCGGTTTATGTGCGGTGGTTGAAGTGGTGTGCTTATACATTTTACACCTTCGGAGCGCTTTGCGCAAATGAGTTTATTGGGACTGGAAGCTCGGAGCTCGGTCAGTTTTATGACTGCCCATATTCAGACAACTCATTGAATCCAGAGTGCAAAGAGTATACTGGAAAGTACATTATGGAGAGTCTAGGCATGCCGTCTAATTGGATTTGGCGGCCCATCGTGGTGCTTGTGGCGTTTGCATTCGGCCACTATTTTGTTGCCGGCCTCTTGTTGCAGTATAATCGTTTCGCGATTGATATTGCCCAAGCTCGACAGTCAGAATCAGACCCCTCTGCTGGAAAGGCAAAGATTGCAATTCGTCCTGCAGAGGAAGCACGACAGCTGGCTATATCATTGGACAAGTACGCCTTGGACATTCAAAAGCAACGATCTCCTTGGAAAGCTTCGCAAAAACTTCAAATTCTGCGACCGATCACTGCCGAGTTTCGGCCAGGCGAATTGAATATCATCATGGGACCATCAGGCAGTGGAAAGACGTCGTTACTTAACTCTATTGCCTGTAGACTTCATGACTCGATCGGAAATAAGTACCGTGTCCACGGACGCATGCTGTACAATGGGGCTGAGCCATCCGAAAATGTCATTCGCTCAGTGAACTCGTACGTGACCCAAGATGATGATGCTCTCATGCCATCCTTGACAGTCCGTGAAAGCCTGAGATTTGCAGCAGGGCTGCGGCTCCCATCGTGGATGTCGCGTGAGGAGAAGAATCGCCGAGCTGAGGAGATTCTTTACAAGATGGGACTGAAAGAATGCGCCGACAATCTCATCGGAGATGAACTTATTAAGGGAATAAGCGGTGGTGAAAAGCGTCGAGTCACCATTGCCATTCAAATCCTTACAGATCCGAAAGTG